TTACTACTACTACTCTACTCTCTCTCTCTCTCTCTCTCTCTCTCTCTCTCTCTCTCTCTCTCTCTCTCTCTCTCTCTCTGTTTAAAAAGAAACTTGTCCGAGCAAGAATATTGTCTCGAATCTCTTTTCACCACCGAAAATATCCCCAGATTTATCCCCCTAGATGGTTCGAAGCGATTTCACAGCGTCTCCTCGGGGAAACTGGGCTGATTCAGCCTGGAATCTGGAACGAGCCCATGCAACGCGTTATCTGTCCAACGTTGTTCGCCTATCTGGCCGGGATTGCACGTGTATTGTCGTACACCCACACACGCTGCCATGTCCGAGAGAGCGCGTCGATATGGCTGTACGGTTACCTAATCGCACCGGTGTTCCATCGTCCACGGCATTGTCTCTTTTTCTCTCCCGTCCCCTTCACCCTGTGAACCGTTCTCCGTGGAAGCCCGGTCCTACGGTCGAGTTCAACGACGCGTGAACGCAAACTTTACTCGTTCCATTACATTTTCTACTTGGATAATCCGGTGCAGTTGGAGAGCCTGTTGCCGACACGCGGTGTCACGTTCCAGAGAGGCCGGTATCGCTCGCGTGGACGAATTTCGAGCGATACGAGTTCGGGTTTATAGTAATTGGCAGATGGACGATTGGAATTTCGCGTTCGTTACAGAGTGCTTTCCGAAAAAAAAAAAAAAGAAAAACAAAAATTTTAATAAGAAAGATTCTCTCTGTCGAACAAAAAAATAAAAAGTAACTAGGTAACTAGGATTTAAACTCTAAAATTTAACTTGATAACTCTTCCTCGAAAATCCATAAAAAGAAAAATTTTAAAAAATAACTAACGATAATTAGATTCATCATTGAATTAATCTTGAAAAAATTTCTTATCGATACGCCGAATACTCTTCGACTTGGAACAACGATTGCATTGGACGCTCGCGATCTAGGGGAAACGAGAAACATTCCTTGTGGAATGTGGCAACTTGGTAACTTTTTTCTCGAAAATACCAACCTCTGTTCAAAAAAAATTCAAAAAGATAGATTCATCATCCTCGAATTAACCTCGTAAAATTTCTTATCGAATAAATTAATACTTGGAGTTGGAAGGACGATCGTAAGCTTCGATCGAATCGCGATCTAAAGGAAACGAGAGACATTGTCGGTGGAATGGCGGATATAGGCGGATCGTTAAATTCGCTGTTGCGCTCGCGATTATCGGGCGCGAGTGTTCTCGTTGTGGCTCGCTGTTTTATCTGGATCCCGGTCGTTCGCGTTTCGCGGATTCGCAGGGTTCGAGATCGCTAAGTGGCGATAGACAGAGAGGCGAGGCGGCCACTTCGAGGTGGAAACGCGCGAAACGCGCGCTTAAACACTGGGACAAATTGAGGCTGGGCAGCCACGCTCCACGCTTCGACGCGTAAATATGCGACCGCGTGGGCCGTGTTCCTGCACGTGAGGCTACCCATTTTTTTTCGAACTGGTTTTCTTCACTGCCCGGCTCTCACCCTTTGCGGAGAATTGAATCCGTTGCGGAGAATTCAGAGAATTTGAATAAAAATTTTTCTCCAACTTCACTATTAACACGAGGGAAGGGATAGAGAATTTAACATTGGAATTATTACATTCCGTGCAACGTTAGTACAGAGTTCACCGTGTTTGATTGACCGTGGAGGTGTCCGAGCATGAAGAGAAGGTGAAGCGAGAGGAGGAACGAGCGGCAATAAACGTCGATAGAAACGGGCGAAGATAAAATTAATCGACTGCCTAGGAAAATCGATAATATAACTGGATAAATACCCGTCAGATGTCATCCTTGTCGCCGAAATTATATATTGAATTATACATCCACCAATCACATTTCTCTCACACTTTCCATAGAAATCTTTATCCGAAAGATTTTTTCAGAGATTCGAGTAACTTTCTCTCTCTTTTTCGATGTCCTTCGAGTTTCCAATTCCAGTTGGAAAAAGCGAAGAGAGCGTGGAAGAGGAACGAAACGAAGAGGTGCATGCAGCGTGATGTAGCGTAAAGGTTATGTCTCCGAGCGAGCGATATATCCTCGTACGAAAACTAGTAGGGCAACGTTGCAGCTTCGCCGCGAGGGTTCTCGTTACATGACCTACCGTATCCGAGTTATCCAAATGGAAGGATTAATGCAAACGTGTCTCGAGTCGAAATTGGGTACTGCTATTTACAACATTGAGTACCACGCACTCCCGTCCGCTTTTCCTTCCCTCTCCTCATTCCCGTTTTCTTTTCTCTGTGGGTGCCGGTTGGCTGGCAGCAATAAATATGCTGATTAAGCGGCAACGTACCGCTGGTTAATTTGCAGTATATCAGTGTACCCAACAGTGTATTTTAATTGGTCGTGAAACATCATTGGAACGTATAATCAATGACGCCACGCATCAACGATCAGGCCCTGTTAACCGCTTTGAGCGCGCGTTGGAATTCTGGAAAAGTCGATCGAATAACCTTGCCCTTCGCTCGAAATCGATCAGTCATTCGGTAACTTTGACGATGATTAAACGGATAATGCTTTAACGGATTCGAGATCCAAGCTCGAAGGTTAGAATACTGTTCACTGGTGAAGAGAAGTTGCGAATTTGAAAATGATGATTTAAACCTCGATACATTAGCAATTAAATTACATTAAAAATTTTTTGTAATTACGATTCGTAACAATAATTTAATTTATAAATGTAATTTTGTATTCGAGTAGTTGAGATAATAATCTAGACATATCGGATAGATAGTTTCGAATATATTTCAGTTTCCAGTCTTGATTATCTGATGATTATCCTAACTTCGTAAATGAAAATAATTTTTACGATTTTGAATATTCAAATTATAGCTTTTCTATCATAGAATGTAAGATTTCTTTTCAGTAATGAACAATATACAATTTTTTAAAGTTTAAGGTTAGGGAGACTTTTCTAGGGACTTTTATGCGAAAATTCCAAGCTCCAGTTTCCACACTTTGGATTCTATCTATAAATTCCTCTAAATACTCTCGATATTTCAAAGTTTCGAATTTGAAATTTTTTAAAATCTTCGAATCCTCTCGTTCAATTTCACTTTTCAGTATTTCTCCTCAATTTCGAAAAGCGGCTTTCACCCTCGGATCGTTCCATCATTTGCAGCACGAAGAACAGTGGCGAAGAAAGAAGAATAGAGCTGTTTGGTTGGCCCGCGAGCGTTGATTTCACGCCGATAATTGCGCTCTCGTCCATTAACCGTCGAGCGCCAGCCGTGCGAGATATCGTTTCGCCGAGCACGAGAATCCCAGCGCACAATGCTCCGTGTTGCGAAAGTGTCGTTGCAGATTTCGTTGCAAAATCGCGAAAAGGTCTGCTCGCGACACCGATCCTCCTGCCAACCTTGACGCCGTCCGAGCCTAGACGCGGCGGCGAGCGTGAGACCACGGCCTATTTAGTTGCATCGTTGCACTTTACTCGATCGAGATCGCGATACTTTTCATCGTTTGCACAATTCGATCCATCGTTTACGTTTACCTTATCCCCCTTAACCTGTCCTCGCTAGAATCCGCGATAACAGCGCACTCTCGATCCTTT